AAATCACATCGATCCGGCCAAGGAAATAAATCTTCCTCTTATCGAACCAGAGGCAAGCCAAGTCGATGATGGAGAAAAGATCGTTCTATCTTCGTTCCGGATAGACCATGTTTACCAAGGCTCGACGATATTTACCTTTCTTTCGACGGTTTCTCGTGTCGCGTGTGATCGAGAGATGTATTATTCAAATCTTGTATACTTGGTCCCATTACGTATAAACACGATAACAAACTCGACTGTGCAACGACTAGGATCGGAATCGATATACGGAAAGCGAGGAAAAATTTCGAAGCGTGGAAAAAATTATAAATAATCGCGCGTAATGTTGAAACGATCGGAAAATACGAGAGGAATCGACGACTTTTACGAGACTTTGGACGGCGCTGCTCGTCCGCGCACTCATGAATGATTTCGTTGGAAAAGAAAATTGAAACCCAGAATTAATTACGTTGCACGGTTAAGGCGGCCACAATGGGTCGCAATAAAACATCCAAGTACAAAGTAGAACAATAAGGACCAAGTACAAAGGCGCGTCGTACAATTAGATTTGTGAACAATTTCCACTTTCCGCTTGCGTCACCAACCCCCCTCCCCACCAAATCCTCCACTCGCGGCTTTTACCCTTCTCGTGCGCCGCGACTCGCAACCCCCCCACTTACGTCACCTAAACTCCCAGTTTCGCCATTCGTTCGCCTAACCTAACACCACTGTCTTTCAAGATTATTTCGAAATAGCGCCGAGTACCCCTCCTCTCGCCTTTAAAAAACTCGATTACGCGATTCTCGATAATAATCCGAGTCGATTACCGTCCATATAACATCCCCTCCCCTATTATCGCTTCGACGCAACCATTCGACGTGTACGTCCCGTTACAAAAAGTTATAATTTCGTCGATTCGAGTTTTCCTGTCGTGTACTTACTTAACAACCGCCGATTTTTATTACCCCTTATTGAGCCCGTGTTAAATTACGATTCGCGCGCGCGCGTATAACGCTGTTCGTTTATCCGGCCCTCCAGCAATTCCTTTGCCAAGGAAATACGAAATAACCGGCCAATTTAGCTTTGCTCCGATACTTGCCGTGTAATTCGACGACGATTGCGGTGTCGTAAAAAAAAATACAAAAAATATTGTCGATATTGTTTGGATACATCGTGGTATTTCAACGAGAAATAATAAAAGTTTTGGCTGTAACGCGTTTCAAACTTATAAAACAATTAAAAGAAACTATTTACTTTCATCTTAACAAATTTTTACGATTGGATTATCGCCATTTAAGAAAACTATAGACAATTTGTATTATTTACAACATCTTCGTATTATTACTCGATCGGGATCTCCTAGAAACCCTGTTTCTCCAGTTTCCTTTTCGCAACATTTTTCGTCTGTGCAAGTACCGCACGACGGTTAAACAACTAACGTTACGTAACAAGCAGGGGGAACAGGACGTTCCGTCTAATTGAATCGAGATGAAAGGAAGCGCGATCGCGATCGACGTTTATCCATCGTGACAGCACGTGGCTGGTCCTGGCCACACACACGGCCCGAATTTCTTTCTCGCGTCAGGTGGTCGCGATGCAACGTAATAAACGTATTCATAAATGGAATAAATTGGCGCGATGAAAAAAGGAGAAGAAGAAGAGAAGAGAAGAGAGAGAGAGAGAGAGAGAGAGAGAGAGACGAATCGTGGATCGTACGGACTGTACCAGAGGATAGCGACTGGCAAAGGGTATCGGGGAAGAGGAGGTTGTCGCATTCGGTATGCAAAG